ATCCAGGTTGCTGCGGCCTGCTCGTGTCGGTCACTCACTCACCCGTCGCTTCTGTTGCACCACCACCTAGGTCACCCAGCACTCCCGGGTCTGCGTCACATGTCCCAGCACGGTCTCGTCCTAGGTCTCCCTCCGTCGCTTCGTGCCCTCCCTCCCTCGCCTGCGCCACTGTGCACGCCCTGCGTCGAGGGCCGGCTGTGCCGTGCTCCTCACTCCTCCTCGCTTCGCCCTGTAACTGCACCCCTCCAGACCCTGCACTTGGACGTCTGGGGCCCAGCCCCCGAGCGCTACTTTCTCGTGCTCGTCGTCGACTTCACGCGCTACATCACGGTGTTTACCCTGGAGCGGAAGGCCGACGTGCCTGACGTTCTTATCCCGTGGGTCGTAGCTGTACGCTTCCACCACGGTCTCCCTGTGCGGCGAGTTCGCCCCTGGTCGGCTTGGGCCGTTCTGTCGTGCGGAGGGCATCACCCAGTCGTACACTCTATCGGACTCCCCGCAACAGAATGGGGTCGCTGAGCAACGCATCAGTTTGGTCATAGAGGTGGCTCGTACCTCCATGATTCATGCCGGTGCACCCTATTTTCTATGGCCGTTCGCCGTTCACTACGCCGCTCACGAGCTTTACCTGTGGCAGCGCTCCCAGCGGCCGCATGTTTTGCCGACCCTTCTTTGGACCGGGTTCCCTCGTGACGCATCCGCGTTCCACGTCTGGGGCTGCCTCTGGCATGAACAAGCTTACTACCCGCACTGTCCCTTGTGTCTTCCTTGGTTTCCCCCTGGACTCGTCTGACTGGCACTTTTACCACCCGCCGTCTCACCGCTTTTTTCACTCCCGTGACGCCACTTTCGACGAGTCTGTCTCCTTTTACTACCGCTTTCCTCACCGAAGTCTCCCGGTTTCCCCTCCCCCGTTTCTGGTCCCCACTCCCCCGGTCGTCCCTACTCCCCTTCCTCCCTGTCCTTCTTCGTCTGGTGTCTCTCACGTCACTCCTTTCCGGTTAGTTGTCCCCGTCGATGAGTCGGCTGACTCTGGTGGCCCTCTGGCGCAGTTCCCGTTGCCTGTCTCCCCTCCGGTGTCTCGTCCTCCGCCGTCGCAGCAGCCACCACCGCCGCCGCCGCAGCAGCAGCAGCAGCAGCCGTTCGTGGACTCTGGGGGTGTTTTCGTCGAGGAGGGTGCTAGTCCTGGGGTTCCTGTCGTGGCTTGTCCCGGCGGGCTTGGGGGTGGCACCGGTGCTGGAGAGGGTTCTCATTCTGGGGGTGCTGGACTGGAGTGTTCTGGAGGTAGTCGCGGTACAGCTGGCGGTTCAAGTGTAGGCGTCGAGCAGCAACAGCAGCAGCAGTCGCCGGCGGTGTCCGTCCATCGCCTGCTCGGCCTTCCTTCCTCCAACTGCTCGCCTGCGCCTCCCCTTGCGCCGCCTCCCCTTCCTGTCCTCGGCCCTGTATTCCCTCCGCCGAACTCGTCTTTGGCCCTTTTCCCACCTCGTTCCCCACCTGTTACTCCCCCTCTGTCTCCTGACCCGACGCCTCCGTCTCACGTCTGGTCTCGTCGTCCCTCCCGTGCTCGTTCTGTGTCTCGTGTTCCGCGTTTTCACCCTATGTTGCTTTGTTCCCACGCGCCTTCCCCTCCTCCGTCGTCGCTTGATGTCACGCCTCCCCCTCTGTCTGACTACCTTCGTGCTGCTTGTCCTCTTGTTCCTCGGGTCCTTGCCTCCCTCATTACCAACAAGTCTGTTCCGGTCTCGAGTCTTGATGCTCTTCTCGCTGCTGTCGTTGACTTTGCCTTTACCCACCACCTTGAGTACGCCACCGCTCTGGTCTCTGACCCTGTCCGTCCGTCGAGGGTGCTCCTGCCTTTGGCAGTGACGCCCTAGAGGACAGGCTATACGAGCTTGCTTTCCTGTCGGAGGCTACTCCCCATCTTTGTTCCATGCTGCTAGTCCCTGAGGGTGACCCAGATACCTTTGACATCCCGACCCCTCGCACCTACGCTGAAGCAACCTCAAGACCCTGGGCCTCTCAGTGGATAGCTGCCATGGAGCAGGAGATGGCATCTTGGAGATCCACCGGCACCTACGTCGACGCAGTTCCCCCACCTGGGGTGAACGTAGTCGATGGCCGGAGGCTCTTCAAGGTGAAGCGCCCTCCTGGAGAGCCGCCTGTGTTCAAGGCATGCTACGTTGCTAGAGGCTTCAGTCAGTGAGACGGGGTGGACTTCTTTCAGACCTTCGCCCCGACCCCGAAGATGACTACTCTTCAGGCGCTGCTACACGTAGCAGCACAGCGTGACTACGAGCTTCACTCTCTCGACTTCTCCACTGCTTTTCTGATGGAGGGCACCCGCCGCATAGAATGAAAATACTCGGCATACAAATACAGCGAGCCAGGTGTAATTGAGGATGTCCTCAGTGCCTCTGCTGCAGTGCTCGTGACTAGTGAATCTCGATTGCTGATTTACCGGTTGTTATCCTAAGAACCCGACACAAAGGAAGGTGGTTATCATAAGGACGCGTTACAAGTTGGACCAAGAGGGGTTCAAGTTTTGAACGTTCAAGTTTCCGATGTGGTTACCCTATTGTAACCTCTCTACACGTTACAAATCTACCAACGCGGTCAAGATGCCGCGATTTTTCGCTCCCGCCAGGATGAACGCATGCCGCGAGCTCTTGACCCCCACGTTCGTCCACAGAGACAAAAGTACCGAATCGGCACATGCCAATCGTGGCGAATATGTGCAGACGAAAACTTCACCCGCTTTTTTCGCCGCGTCGCGCAGTCAATTGGAATTGTGCGGTTTGAAGTGAGTGCGGTTCGGTTGCGGGCTGTGCAACCATGTGTTTTTTCGTCAATTCGCTTTTGTCGCCAGATTCCCGTCGTGCGAATTTTGCATCTTGATCGACAATGGACGAAGCGCGGTTGGGTACATCTTCCACCCCCTGTCTTGACTGCCTGTATTGAGAAAGCTCGCTACTTGTAGTGCAAATGGCATCGTTCTCATTCCACTGGCATCAAGTACAAAGAGTTCCCAATAGATTCATCTATTAGCATAAACTTTCTAAACTGTCTACACTGGGATATGTCTATGCCGAGGATGATCCACCGAAGCGGTGCATGTTGAAGAGAGTAGACGGAGCGGCTTGGGTGGGCGGGAATTGAACTTGAGCTGGGAAAAAAGAAAAACGTGGGTGGAGGAAGAATGACCTCCAACCCCATTATATGGTTGGAGAAGAGCGAATAGCGAGCTTTGACGATGCCTTAGATTGCGTTACAAGCAGCTTCTTATTCACAATACACAATTTTGAAAGTGTGAACACTTTAAAAACTTATATGTTTTGACCCTTCGCGATCAAACTCCCGACAGAGGCATTCGAACGCGCTGTTCGTCCCAAACTGTGAATCTCCATCTTGGTCCAAATTGTAACGCGTCCTAAGAAACACACATCTCCTTACCAAACTGTACTGCATCGCGTACCCTCTTGTCCATGCGCCGTTACCTTTCCACTCCGCCTCTCCCCCACAACCACAAACCCCGAGGTTCTCGCCTGGGTTGGACACGCCCCTGGTTTTGCCCTAGGGCTTCATCTGTACTGCATTTCTGTTGGTCACACTTCCAATGTTCACTTTATTCTGCACACTATAGATTCTCACCTTTCTGCGTGCTTCCAAGGGACTTCCTATCCTGCCAGGGGCATTTGGAGCACCATAAGCTAATGAGGAGGAAGTTTCATCATCACAAAAAAGTGAGGTCCCAAAACAACTTCAGAACTAACCCACAGGACTCCTTCGGGACAGTTGCGGGACATTGGCTCCGGGACACTCTCGGGACCAAAGGTGGGTCAGCCAGGGTATACGTGTCCAGGACATTAGGGGGTCACGCCCGGGTGCTCTCAGGGGTTTTTTTTGGGACACCACCGGAACATCTCCGGGACAGTTGTAAGACAGTTGACGGATGTTGACCGCTGATGACTGAACAGTATATACGCGATGCTAAGCTGCCCCACATTCATTACAACAAATTACGATATGATACGACCAGGATTCCTGCTAAGTTTTAGGGCTGTCTGAGAATCATACGCGGTTTCGAACTTTCGTCTGACCATCAGACGAGCTACCTGGGCTGGTCTAGATTTTCAGACGAATTGTCCAGCATCATCTGAGCTTCCAGACGGAAAAAAAGGAACTTCACAATGAACTAAAGTACAGTACTGGGGTGATGACGCGCCACGCGGCAAAAATGTTGCGCGGGTGGCAGGTTTGAAAGCTTGTTCCTATGAACCTCTTCCCAAGCTGTCCTCTTCCCAAACTCGGCCCTTGCCTGAGTGAGAGCGTGTTCGGAGAACCGTTTTTCCAGCTAATTCGTTTCAGAATCACATTATAAATCGCGTCAATCCCACTGTACAGATTCGCGCATGACTGAAATTTTCGCGCCTGAAACGAGATTTGAAAACACGCCTTGAATCTCGACAATCCCAATCTCGCGTCACACCACGCGGAACCGCATTTAACTGTTTCGTGTCAGAATTACGTGACACTGTAGCGCAGGAGTTTGGGATGAGGTTGGCTGGGAAGAGGCAGCAAGAACATGCTCTGAGACCCGATGACACACGTGGCCGAATGGCCACAAGGGCGTGGACTACACCAAATTTGTAAAACGGGCGGGAAGGGGGGGGGGGGGGGACATGTTACTACAAGGTGGGCGCAATGTACCGCCCACCAGAGTGGGAGGAGTGGGTGAACCGTCGAGATCGTGATCGTTGATCGACAAGATATTTCTCAGCTGTGTGTTGCGATTAACTTAGCCAGCAACATTCTCGCCAATTCGGAGCGATTTTGATTGGCTACACAAGAGAAAGGCTTCTTGTGCTTGTGCCCAGACTTCACGACGACCAATGTGACTCCTTTTCTACGAAAATATTTTCGCACCCACTTCGCCTTCCAGCTCAAGTTCTGAATCTAATCAGAGCCCCGTAGGAACACGCTCTCAGACGGAAATATACGCGCTATCTGGAAATTCAGACAAGTGCCTACACCAAGTCTGAGAATTCAAACGGATTTATATAACCAAGATGGTCGTTCAGATGAAAAACGTACATGTGCGCACTAAGGTACGCATAATGCTGAGGCAGGTTCTGCTAGGCATGCTTCTCAATCCAACCAGCAGACTCGCCACATACCCTCATTGCCAATGATGGGTTCATCAGTGTCCACTTTCCTCCTCCTTTGTCTCCCTGAAAGAATTGGCCAGTTTACTGCCTGCTAATCCCCTCAACGCCTACAGACTCTGAAGGCTGGCGCATTCCTCCCTGGAGAGGCTCACTCCTTCCAGCTGGCCCACACTCTTCCACTGCAGCCTCGCCTCTTTTCCCTGCCTGCCTGCCTGCTGTCTGAACCCGTGACTTTCTGCGGCAGGGAAGGGAGAAGAAGACGCAGTTCCAGGAGCAGCAGGATGCGGGGACGCTCATGCCAGGCGCGGCTGTACCGGTGGTTCCTCTGTGAGTGTCATCTGATGTTCCCGCCCTGCTCCACATCTTCACACCCGGCTCTCCACCTCGCAACGCATCGCTGGGGCCTCCAGCTGCTGGCGTCTGTTGCTTGCCACTGCGTCTGCCATTCTCGTCATCGTCCTGATCACCATGCGCCATGTTGAGGTCAAAGCCCAGTCCTGTTCCTTCCCTCTCACTCGCACCACGAGCAGCCAAGGCAGCAGCAGCAGCAGCAGCAGCAGCAGCAGGGGCAGCGATGGAGCAAGAGACTGCAGTGGAGGAGTTGAGAGCGCGAGAGGGCAGCTCGTCTGGTGCAGTGAGACCGGCGCCTCTCTCCGCCTGCCGTGGAAGGGAGCCCGAGCGAGATGGGTCGGGTGCCTGCCAGGGGGGCAGGTTGATTTCAAGGACCTCCACCCGCGAGCGCTGTGTCTTGTGCCAGCGCTGCGCGTCCATCGCAAATGGCACTGCCTCCTCTGTCCCACGCACCTGGTCTTCCCTTCCACCTGCTCGATCCCCCTCTCCGGTCTCTGTTGCAGCCCTGCCAGGTGCCACAAGCCTGCCTTCAACACCGCTGCCAGCAGGGAAGCCGGATTCCGAAGGTCCCCACGGCCCCTCTCGCCGCAAATGAGCTGCTCTCAGCCATCCAGCCATGGCAGTCACATCAGCCGCTCCTGCCTGGGCCGCAACACTCCCATGCATCGACTCATCTTCTGCCATGCCATCACCCGCCATGCCTTCCCGCTGCCTCTTCACATCATGCCCATCATACTTTGCCAAATCAAAGTCCCTTGGAAGGTGGACCTCTACAGCGCTGCCCCTCGTTCCGCCTCCACCAGCCGCTTGTGAGCCACTCCCTGGGCCGTCTATGTCCCGTTCCCCTGAGCGGAGGCGCTTGGACGGGCTCAGCATGGTGCCACCAGGCGTTGCATTCATTCCGCTGCGGTGCTGCTGCATGTACATTCCCAGTCCCCCCTGCCCGCCTTCCGCCCCCTGGAGTCCAGCTGTCATGGGCGAGTGATGAGACGGCAGAGAGAAGGCCGAGGCGGAGGAAGGGGAGGCAGCGGAGGGAGCACTGCAGTAGATTCGCTGTGGGGGGGATGTGTTGGTCAAGCTGGGCTGCCGTGTGAGCAGTACCGCGCTCGCTGATGCGCTCTCTGGCTGCTCGCTCTCATGCCTTTGGCTCAGTGACCGCTTTGCCATGTGCTCCTTCAGCGAGTCACCAGACACGATCTCGCTCTGTGCTCGCTTGCTGCCCGACGCCTCTCCTGCCCGCGCACCTTGCCTCTCAGGGCTCCTCACCCCGCCACCTCCAGGAGCCCCCTTTTCCCTGCCCTGTATTTTCCGGGCAATGCCACCCTTTCCTCTGGCAGCTCCTGGACTCCCAACTGGCTCGAGTATGGACAGCCGAGGCCACAGCATCCCTGTGCTGTCCCTCGTCGTCTTGGTGCTGGTGGCAGTTCCTTGCCCATCACCGCTCCTTCCATCACCCCGCCTCCCATCACCTTTCCGTTCATTTCCCTTCCCTCCAGTGTTTCTGATTCTATCGCCAGCATCACTGACACCAGAACCCCCTCGACGACCAGCAGCAGTAGCAGCAGCAACAGCAGCACTACCACCACCATCTGTTACGGCTGCCCCATCACCTGGCCCAGGCACAGCAGCACCAGCAGGGGCAGAGGCGTGCATGGGCTGGGAGCCGAGGGAGCAGCGCCAGCGGTCGTGCTGGTGCTGCTTGAGGCCCACGGCCGTGGGGAAGCTCTGCTTGCATACGGGGCACACGTGCGGGCCCTCGTCGTCCGACCGCAGCCACTTGGCCAGCAGCTTGCTGACGCGAGGGGCCATGCCGCCATCACTACCACAAACACTGGCCCTGATGCCACTGCCACTTGTGCCAGTCGTTCCAGCAGCGTTCGTAGCTGTGGCTGTTCCGGCAGCAGCAGCGGGGGTTGTAGCTGCGTTGGTAGTGGAGGGGAACGCGGCGGAGGGGGAAGGCTGGGAGACTGTGGACTGAGCAGCTGCTGCCGTCTCTGTGGGTGCTGCTGCCACCACCGCAGCTGCTGACTCAACAGCGAAGCGGCGGTGCGCTGCTGCTAAGTCCATGCGATGCTGCTGCTGGCCAGCACCGGCAGCAGCAACAGCCAGCATCATGGCATGCATGCCCATCAATGCCTGGCCGGAGAGCGCTGCTGACATTGCTGAGGCTGATGCTGCAGCTGCAGGGACCGGGGACGGTACAGCAGGAGCAGGGGCAGCTGGAAGGCTGAGCTGGGTGGGTGGAACACGGGAGAGGGAAGCAGGGAGAACTGTGGCGTTCCTAAGCACTGGGCCGAGCTGGTGGGCGGCCAGAAGAGACCCCTTTTGGGACATTCCTGCCTCGGCTGCGTTGGCTGCCGCTAGGCCTGCAGCTGCTGCTGTGTCTGAGCCGCTGGCGCTGGCGGCAGCGGCGGCAGCAGCAGCAGCAGCCATGACGACGGCGACCATGGAGTCCCGCGCGCGCACCTGCGGCGAGTCCTCGCCCACTGCCGCCTGCCGCTGCACTGCTGCCAGGTCGCGCGACACGGAACCACATGCTCCCCCCGTCTGGAGGTTCAGATTCGCCTCGGTTCCTCTTCCCGCGGCGCTGCTGGTAGTGGCAGTTGCATGGGAGTCACGGTACATCCAAGACGCTCCATGCTCAAGATTCCGACGCTCCGCTGGCGAGACCTGGGCGACAGGAAGGCCACGGTGTCCCCTGTGAGATGTGGTAGATGGACGGTTGAGATCTGATGGGAGTATTTCCAAATTGGGCCCCGGAACGGAAAGATTTCTTGGATCGGTCGTCAGGGGGTTCAAGCTGTCGATGAGGTCAATCGTTGGAAGTACATGGGTGCGAATTGCAGCACAAGGAACACCCCCAGATCGTGTATAGTAGCGCAAATCATCTGCTCCTTGGATGCGAGACTCGCCGGCGGCGGCTTGACGGGACTCCGAGTTGACGACTGCATAGTGAGACTCATGTTTTGCTTGATGACGGGCGGCGACTGCAGAACCAGCATGCACGCGTTCTTCGGGATAAAGTCTCGCGATCGTTGACTGCAAAGATATCGACGCAGGCGAAATATGCGTCGAGAACTCGGTTTCCTCGCCCAATCGTTTCTGATCGCCTTCATCCCATTGCCGAGTGTCTGAGAGACCGGCGTGGGCTTCGTCGTTCGTAATGGGGGCGAGACTGAGCTCAAGCTCGAGTCGAGGCGGCGGCGGAGGTGACGGAACCAATCTAGTGCTCGTCTCACGCGGCCTTTCGGGAGAGAATGTTTCTCTTTTCGCGTGTGCAGAGTTTGCCATAGAAAATTTGTGCGCCTGTGACGAATTCGACACGAGATAGGGCATCACGTAAGCTGGCCTACTGAGAGGATAGAAAGTTGATACTTCGTTATGCTAAAATGCTGTTTAGGGGAAGGCCCTCTGGATTACTGACTGCCTCCAAAGCTGAGTGACATGGGAGGGGTGACACCTGAAGACTGACCCTGAACCTTTTGAAATTAGATTAGCTGTTTCCCTTTCAGAAACATAATTTAGATTGTTAGTCTACCACATCTTCCTTCTCACGAAGGCTTCTGGGTGCCACAATTAAAGACTTCCCTTAGGGTGAATGCTCGAAAAGGCGTGTCCAGCATATATGTTTCTACAGGTGTAATCCTTGGGTAAATAGCGAACGTCAGGCCTGGGTGCTCATTCCAAGCCGCCATTAACAACTTTACAGGGTTTTTCTTCCTGCAATCCAGATCATAGGTAACTTAACACGAAAAAATGCTTTGAGTGAGGACCTCCAGCTTTCCTACAACGTTCATCAGAACCAGGGCTCAAGATAAACAGCTAATAACCCGGAATTTCAGTTAAATTTTGGACTGTTTATAAAGAAATCCGTGCCGGAATCAAATACGGATTGCCTAAATGGGCCCAAAGTTGCCCGTTTCAAAGCCTATTCTGATCCTTTCAACGAGGTCTGCGACCCTGGGATCTTAGAAATGTACAAACCGCGACATTTAGCCTTTTTCGAGGCATCAATATTCAAATCTGGAAGAATCCGGATTCATGAAATTCCAATCGTGAGGTCTGATCAGAACCCCACTTTCCCCAACAATCCCGCGTGCATCCCCACACACACCCCAGTCCTAGATTCTGGTCCTTTGCGCTTGACGTGGCATTTTGAGGAAATTTGATGCGTGAACCGCAAAGCATATTCATCTTTTGGCTGGCAGCCACTCATGTTGCGGTGGGTGGCGGTGTGGTGAAGTGTATCCTTTAGATTCGGAAAATTTTGAAGGGTGCGAAGGAAGGTTCGTCCATAGGTCTACTGTGGAGGGCCAGTTACTGTAGTACGGTTACTTACGGATCCTGTAATGAAAATAACTTTTGACGCTGAAGCCAACAGCATTGGTTGTTCCAGGAAGAATCAGTTTCAATTGGTTAAAGCCCGCGGCCCAGATTGCGAGGCGCGACCTTCAAACGCACTGCGTTTGAAAGTCACGTTTTTGTGGGTGTAGATGGGGGTAACGTGACTCGCGTCACTCGGGGCTGGCTTTCAAGTTCAGTGCGGAACGTATTTTGGGACACCAAGTACCTCGCGTATTTTAGCCGTCCAATATTTGTCGATTTCCATCTGACTGCGCGCAAGAAAAGTGCTTTCCCCAATCAATCGAAATGTAATCTCAGCCGTCGCACTGCCTACTTGCAAATCGAACGATCTACGACAAATTGCGAACTCGCGAGATAAAACACCCTCACGATTTTTCTGCTTATTTCGTCCAGGCCGAGGCTCAGTTCATACGCAATGTGTATGAACAATTTGGGCCGCGGGTTTTAAAACAGCTGAAATTGAAGTTTGACTGAAATATGTCAGGGTGCAGGACCTTCCCATTTTGCAATTTTGTACCCTGGACACATGGGATGCGACAGAAGCCAGAGTGTAGCAGGCACATAGAAGTGTAAGATATTCTTTGAGGCTACCCGTTTTCTACGGTCAACTCTCCTAATAAGCGGTACAGTTGTATGAAGGGAAATAAATAATCTAAAGCAATCCAGCGTGAAAGTGAAATGAACCAATGAAAACCTATGGAAGATTCTACTGATCATTACCTTGGCGCATGCGTAAGCCGCTATGATTAAAAGATATTAAGAAGGTTTCGGAGAGCCAATGCTGGCGGAAAACCATCACCATTAAAGATATGTGATCTAGATGGAGATCTATCCCACCGAGTTTGCTGCGATGCAATCTTGCTTGAGCCCTAAGGCGCGGAAACCGAAAAGGGTTTCGTTTTGTCTGCGTTGGCAGACCATCAAACCAATCAGTGAAGTCCCCTTCTCAAGTAGAATGTTGATTCAGGGCATAGTTATGATATAGCACTCGTTAGCATATAAGACCCCATGGATGTCTGAGGATCTCAAGAGGATGGATAGGTGGCCACTATGGCGAAAGAGATTGTATCAACTCATCTTCATGGATTTTGTAACTTATGAAATGCAGTAAAAACTAAATAACAATTATGATGCACAAACAACAAGAAATGGGTATCGACTCTCGAGATTATCTATAACTCGTATGCATAATGGCACGATCAATATAGCTGTATTGTTAAAGCCCGCGGTCCAAATTGCGAGGCGCGACCTTCAAACGCAGTGCGTTTGAAAGTTGCATTTCCGTGGGTGTATTGGGGGGTAACGAGACTCTCGTCACTCAGGGGTGCCTAGCAAGTTCAGTGCGGAAGGAAATTTGGAACACCAAGTGCCGAGCGTTTCTCAACCGTCCAGTTTTTCTACACACGTCTCGCACATTGCCAGACAATGGTTAGACACTCAACACCAGTGTGTTAGGGACGCCCAATTGTTCTCCAAGAACATTCGGTCATCCCAAGTGACGAGGAATTTGATAAGATGGGCGCCATGCATGTCTCGACAGTTGGTTCAGCGAATGGTTGGAATTTTGGAAATGATGAAACGATTGAAGCATTTCAGGAGTTTCGCGTGCTGTACAAATACATGATCATGCAACATCGACGATTGCCAAGTCAAACCTGCGACAGTACCTCTTATGGATGACACAGGTTGACGACATCTCACGGAGGTTGTGAAAGGCAAGGGTCACAGACCGTTGACCTTACAACCCAACAGTCAGAAGTACAAGAGTCGAAGTCAGCGTGACAGCAAGGACACATAAACGTCCCGGTATCACAGCACGGTTGGTTACACGAGTCGTGCTTATCGAGTCGTAAAGGTAATGTCCCCCTCGAAGTGCACAGGTAGTTAGACTCTTCATGTTCTCTTGTATAATTAAATAAGTCCTTGTATCCCTTTGCTATAATCAATCACTTCTACTCACATACCAGTACAAGGGTTCAAATCAGACTTCCGCTGTGCTATCAAGCACTCTTTTTACAAGGACTTAGTTTCTGAATAGGATCCTAGGGCTATTCTCAGCCCAACATAGTATAAGAGCTAGTCAGGAACTACGTTCTCATTAGAAACTCTCTCAGTGAGTTTCTAAGTTGGATCAGAACACTCGCAGTAATCTCAGCTTGATTATCAAGATTCAACATATGGCACCATCAAAGGTCGGATGATCCTTTACTGGATCTTCGGGCTACGAGGCATATGCACCTCCAGCCTCTCAGCTACAGACTGAGGCAGGCGTTACTCAAGGCGCTACTCAAGGTGCAACTCAAGGCGCAACACCAGGCGCACCTGCGGGAGCTTCCACGCATCCAATGGCCTCCTCCTTGGGCATTGACCCAGGATTCGCGGATAAGTTCTTCTCCTTCATGTTGCACAACAAGCAACCTTCAGCACCTGCTTTGTTGGTACATAGCAACAACATTAGTGGCGCCAATAGTGGCATAGCACCTATGAGCCTCGACAGCTCATCGTATGGAAGAGGCAATCAACAACCTATTCAACATCAGCCTTACCAGCCCTCGCTTGGCTCGTTCACCTACCTGCCAACTCCAGCGCCATCGGCGAACTCGCAACCAAGCGACAATTCAACAACATTCCGAAGCTGCAAATGTCTTTCCCATTCAATGGAAAAGGCTTCTTTACCCGGAGCTTCGAGTTCGAGTTGCTGATGGGCGGTGCATAGATCCTCAACTTCTTCACCTTCTCCTGGTCATTTCCTAAAAATGGGACTATTCAAGGAAAGGAAGTCTACGCATAGTAGTCGCGTATGGCGATTACCATCCTTCTGCACAACCTGACGCTAACAGAAAAACATAACATCCAGACATACAAAAACTTTGGCAACTCGGCTGAAGCCCTGGAGGGACCAAACAGGAAGAAATGGAGGGAAGCAATAGATAGGGAATTAGCGGCACTGCACGAACGGAACACCTGGAAGCTGATTCCCATATCTCAGGCGACAGGAAAAACCATTCTCTATGAGAAATGGGGTTTCCAACTGAAAACAAAAGATAGCGGCACCATCGACCGCTTCAAAGCTTGCTGGGTGGTGCGATGTTTCGACTTGAAGCACGGACGTGACTACATCGAAATTTTCGCCCCAGCCAGCCGTCACACATCACTGCGTATTTTACTCGTCATCGCCGCCGCCTGCAATCTCCGCCTGCGACAAATTGACGTTGCCACGCCATTCGTGTACACACTAGCCGACGCTGACATCTTCGACGAGCAGCCCCATGCGTAGGTCGACGACCCACCTCATCTGCCAGCTCATCAAATCCCTTTATGGGATTAAGCTGGCCTCGCGGCTGTGGCAGCAGTACCGATACCGAATCCTCACCACCATGGGATTCGCTCAGCTCCTGTATGACCAAGGAATGTACCAGCTATCCCGAATTGGCGGCTACGTGCTCCTGATCGTCTACATCGACGATCTTGTCTACATCGGTCCGACGACCTCCATCCTTGTCTTGTTCGAAGGGGAGCTACGGCTCCAGCTCACTCTCATCGTCTGCCCTACTGTCACGCAGTATCTTGGCCTCAACATCACCGACGGCTCCGACACCATTCACCTCTCGTCATCGAAGTATGCCGAGAACATCGCTGCCCGATTCAACCTATTTCCCCTGCCCCTCGCCACACCATACCTCTACACGAACCCAGCTCCCACGACACCCTCCTCCATCCTCACATCGGCTGGCATCTAGGTGTATCAGCAGAAGCTCGGATGTCTGCTGTTCGCCGCCGTCACCTGCCGCCCCGACCTATCCTACGCTGCTAGTCAACTTGCCACGTACCTTAAGCGGCCTGAAGGGGAGAATTTAGAGGAACTCGACCATGTGCTGCTCTGCTTCATCTCTACCCTGATGATCGGCCTCACCTATCACAAGAACGCTACCACCAAAGACTGAGCTAATCGGATATGTTGACGCCGATCATGCCGGCGAAAAAGATAATAGGTGTTCTCGCATCGGC